AGTGTCTTGAAAAGTATCATCATTGGTATGGCGTCCCTTGTTTGGAACGTCCTTGTTATCCAACCTGTCATTTTTCTTGCAGTCGTGACAGCTACTTTATGGTGTTCTGTAAAGGTAAAGTCTTCTGACATGATTACTCCTACCTCCTTTACGTTGCCTTTTCCTTCTATAGTGAGATTTGATTCAGTTTTATATTTGGTTTCCGTTTTAAAATTTTAATTTTTTTCATAGCGGAGGATCTGGAACTTATATTCATTAAATATCATATTACAACCTGTGGGCCATTGAAAGATCTGATTTACATCAGATTGGAGGTTTGCCGTGTCCTTTATGTTGTCTACTCGCGTGACAATCCTAGGGTAGGGTAGGGATGAAACATCAAAAGGGGAGATGTTTCTTCAACAATAGGGTGATGGGGGTGGGGGGTGGGGAGGTGAGGCTGGCACCTCAGCAACGTAAAAGACCTTAAAATATTCATTCCCGCTGACTTGAGTCGCAGTGTAAAAGTTCCCCATTAATATTTGGGCACCTTGCTCCTGGCATGCAGAGTTTGTCTTGAGTAAACATTATTCACTTCAGTACTGGTTTACCCTCACTTACAAGGAGGAGCGGGGTGCAGTACGCCCTTGGGGGGGGGTGTACCTGGGCCAGAAGAGTAGTAGTTTACCTGGGGGGGGGGGACCTGGGTTAGACACACACACAGGGGGACGGACACATACAATCTCATTGAATTGACGGTTGAGAAGCGGAACCAAAGAGCCAGAGCTTAACCCCCGCAAGCACAACTGGGTGAACGAACACACACACACACACACGCACACACACACGCACGCACACACACACACACACACACACACACACACACACACACACACACACACACACACACACACACACACACACACACACACACACACACACACACACACACACACACACACACACACACACACACACTGGCCACAGGGGAACTGCCAGATATTTGGAAAGCAGCTAACGTAGTCCCGATATACAAGAAAGGGGATAGACAGGAGGCACTGAACTACAGGCCAGTGTCCCTAACCTGCATACCATGCAAGCTGATGGAGAAGATTGTGCGAAAAAAGCTAGTGGAGCATCTGGAGCGAAGGAACTTTGTAACACAGCATCAACATGGGTTCAGGGATGGCAGGCCCTGCCTCACAGGGTTACTTGAATTCTACGACCAGGCAACAAAAATAAGGCAAGAAAGAGAAGGGTGGGCAGACTGTATATTTTTGGATTGTCAGAAAGCCTTTGATACAGTATCAAACAAGAGGCTAGTGAAAAAGCTGGAGTGAAAGGGAAGGTACTCCATTGGATAAAGGAGTACCTAAGCAACGGGAGACAACGAGTCAATGTAAGGGGTGAGGTCTCAGATTGGCGAAACGTTACAAGTGCCGTCCCGCAGGGGTCAGTCCTTGGACCTATACTGTTTCTGGTATATGTAAATGATCTCCCAGAGGGTATAGATTCGTTCCTCTTAATGTTTGCCGATGATGCAAAAATTATGAGGAGGATTGAAACAGAGGATGATAGTAGGAGGCTACAAGATGACCTAGATAGACAGTGAATGGTCCAACAAATGGCTGTTGAAGTTCAACCCGAGTAAATGCAAAGTAATGAAACTAGGCAGTGGAAACAGGAGGCCAGACACAGGATACAGAATAGGAGATGAAGTACTTAATGAAACAGACAGAGAGAAAGATCTAAGAGTTGATATCACACCAAACCTGTCTCCTGAAGCCCACATAAAAATTACGTCTGCGGCATATGCGAGGCTGGCTAACATCAGAACAGCGTTCAGGAACCTGTGTAAGGAATCATTCAGAATCTTGTACACCACATATGTAAAACCAATCCTGGAGTCTGCGGCCCCAGCATGGAGCCCGTACCTTGTCAAGCACAAGACGAAGCTGGAAAAAGTTCAAAGGCTACTAGACTAGTCCCAGAACTAAGAGGCATGAGTTATGAGGAAAGGCTGCAGGAAATGCACCTTACGACACTGGAAGACAGAAGAGTAAGGGGGACATGATCACAACCTTCAAAATCCTCAGGGAAATCGACCGGGTAAACAAGGATAAACTATTCAACACTGGTGGGACGCGAACAAGGGGACACAGGTGGAAACTGAGTACCCAAATGAGCCACAGAGACGTTAGAAAGAACGTTTTCAGTGTCAGAGTAGTTAGTAAATGGAATGCATTAGGCAGTGATGTGGTGGAGGCTGACTCCATACACAGTTTCAAATGTAGATATGATAGAGCCCAGTAGGCTCAGGAACCTGTACACCAGTTGATTGACAGTTAAGAGGCGGGACCAAAGAGCCAGAGCTCAACCTGCGCAAACACAACTAGGTGAGTACAACTAAGTGAGTACACGCACGCACGCACACGCACACGCACACGCAGGGAGGGTGAGAGAGAGAGAGAACACAAGGAGCGAGGGAGCAGTGCCTGCGGGTACCACAAGCGGGTACCAACACCCGCACCAATGGCACCCGCTAACACTTGGCCGCCGCCCCTCCGGCAACCCGCCTCAGAGGGGAGTGAGAGGAAAGGGCAGGAAAGAGGGGACTAGGTGAGAGTACGAATACGAAAGAAATGGAACGTGAGAGTTAGAGTGTGAGGGGTGAGTGTGTGAGCGGTGAGAGTGTGAGGGGTGAGAGAGTGAGGGGTGAGTGTGTGAGGGGTGAGAGTGTGAAGGTAAGAGCCAGAAGAGGGGAAGGGAAAGGTCGACCAATTGACTCCTACCTACAGGGTCGTTACCTTTTGGCTACCTTATGGACGTTCCGGGGAACAAGCCCCCCCCCCCCCCTCGCTCGGTTTCCGACCAGGCCTCCCGATTGGTCGTCTGGTCAACCAGGCTGTTGAACGCAGCTGCTGCAGCCTGACGTATGAATCACAGCCTGGTTGATAAGATATTCTTTGGTGGCGTTTGTCGAGTTCTCTCTTGAACACTGTGAGAGGTCGGCCAGTTATGCTCCTTATTATTATTATTATTAACATCTTTATTGACAAAAATTAATTACAATTTTGCCTAATCTGAGGAACTCAATTAAGTCTTATTAAAGTGAGGATAATGCTGGTATTCACTCTCACGCAGGACAGAGGGTCATACATAAGACAATAGGTCTAAACTGTAGGCTGAAGCGCGCGCGCGCGCGCACACACACACACACACACACACACACACACACACACACACACACACACACACACACACACACACACACACACACACACACACACACACACCACACACACACACACACACACACATATATATACACTGTGTATATATATATATATATATATATATATATATATATATATATATATATATATATCAATCAACTACATTAGACTATACATGTTTCAATGTACGAATATGTAAATACAACTTTCTATTGTGCACTGCCACACAAGGGCAGGGATGGGTTCATAAGAGATGCACCCTAAAAATAATATAATGAAATTGTTCTTCACTCTTTAAAATGGAGAAGCAAATTTAGGATAAATTGTTAGGATGTCGTCCAGAACACCTGAGTCAATGAAATAGTTACACAGTTGGTGGTACAAGAGGCCAGGAGGTCTAAAGTCTTTTACGGTTTCACATTCGACAATATAGTGTTCTAGTGAACGCATTAAAGGTTCGTCACAGAGTTTACGATTTGAATATTCTGGTAGTGGCTCAGCCTCACTAACTTGCCAGATTTGCCTTTAGCCAAGGCGAATTCACGCTTATGCTCCTTATGTATAGCGGGAGTGTGTTGAAAAGTCTTGGGCCTCTGATGTTGATAGAGTTCTCAGCTCTCAGCGTTCCTGTTGCACCTCTGTTCGTCAACGGGGGGTATTCTGCACATCCTGCCATGCCTCCTGGTCTCATATGGTGTTATTTCTGTGTGCAGGTTTGGGACCAGCCCCTCTAATATTTTCCCACGTGTAGATTATTTTGTATCCCTCTCTCGCCTGTGCTCTAGAGAACACAGATTTAGAATCTTTACTGTGTCCCAATAATCAAGATGACGTATAGAGTGGATTCTAGCGGTAAAGGAGCTTTGATCACGCCAATTATAAATAAAAGTAATTCTACTTTAAAAGATTAAGAATTTGCCCAATTTTATTAAATTCTATGAAATCAGGAGCCACGCTAATGCTGTCAAAAGAATGATTTTCATAACAATACAGCGTAAATTGACGTCTTAATCAAAACATATCAGCGGTTACCCTGCAATTATTTCGGGGCTCAACGTCCCCGAGGCCCGGTCCTCGACCAGGCTTAAGGTCGACCTGGCGACCCAGGTCCTCGATCACAAGGTTTGGTACGCTGGCCTTAAAGTAAATGTTAAGCAGCTGGTGGTTCTTGGGTGTTTATATATATATATATATATATATATATATATATATATATATATATATATATATATATATATATATATATATATATGTCGTACCTAGTAGCCAGAACGCACTTCTCAGCCTACTATGCAAGGCCCGATTTGCCTAATAAGCCAAGTTTTCATGAATTAATTGTTTTTCGACTACCTAACTTACCTAACCTAACCTAACCTAACTTTTTCGGCTACCTAACCAAACCTAACCTATAAAGATAGGTTAGGTTAGGTTAGGTAGGGTTGGTTAGGTTCGGTCATATATCTACGTTAATTTTAACTCCAATAAAAAAAAATTGACCTCATACATGATGAAATGGGCAGCTTTATCATTTCATAAGAAAAAAATTAGAGAAAATATATTAATTCAGGAAAACTTGGCTTATTAGGCAAATCGGGCCTTGAATAGTAGGCCAAAAAGTGAGTTCTGGCTACTAGGTACGACATATATATATATATATATATATATATATATATATATATATATATCCTGGCTCAGGATGTCAGCCTTGGTGTATTTGGTGAACTGGGAGGTGTCTCCAGCTAGACTTCTCGTGGAGGTGGTGCACCAGGCCGGTGAGATGGTGACCACGGTGGTGACGACGGTGGTGACCACGGTGGTGACCACGGTGGTGACGACGGTGGTGACCACGATGGTGACCACGATGGTGACCACGGTGGTGACCACGATGGTGACCACGGTGGTGACCACGGTGGTGACCACGGTGGTACCCACGGTGGTGACCACGGTGGTGACCTCGGTGGTGACCACGGTGGTGACCACGGTGGTGACCACGGCGGTGACGACGACGGTGACCACGGTGGTGACCACGGTGGTGACCACGGTGGTGACCACGGTGGTGACCACGGTGGTGACCACGACGGTGACCATGGTGGTGACCACGATGGTGACCACGGTGGTGACCACGGTGGTGACCACGACGGTGACCATGGTGGTGACCACGATGGTGACCACGGTGGTGACCACGGTGGTGACCACGATGGTGACCACGGTGGTGACCACGGTGGTGACCACGGTGGTGACCACGGTGGTGACCACGGTGGTGACCACGGTGGTGACCACGACGGTGACCATGGTGGTGACCACGATGGTGACCATGGTGGTGACCACGGTGGTGACCACGGTGGTGACCACGGTGGTGACCACGACGGTGACCACGACGGTGACCACGGTGGTGACCACGACGGTGACCATGGTGGTGACCACGATGGTGACCATGGTGGTGACCACGGTGGTGACCACGGTGGTGACCACGACGGTGACCACGACGGTGACCATGGTGGTGACCACGGTGGTGACCACGGTGGTGACCACGACGGTGACCACGGTGGTGACCACGGTGGTGACCACGACGGTGACCACGGTGGTGACCACGGTGGTGACCACGGTGGTGACCACGACGGTGACCATGGTGGTGACCACGATGGTGACCATGGTGGTGACCACGGTGGTGACCACGGTGGTGACCACGGTGGTGACCACGACGGTGACCACGACGGTGACCACGGTGGTGACCACGACGGTGACCATGGTGGTGACCACGATGGTGACCATGGTGGTGACCACGGTGGTGACCACGGTGGTGACCACGGTGGTGACCACGACGGTGACCACGACGGTGACCACGGTGGTGACCACGACGGTGACCACGACGGTGACCACGGTGGTGACCACGACGGTGACCACGACGGTGACGACGATGGTGACCACGATGGTGACCACGGTGGTGACCACGATGGTGACCACGACGGTGACCACGGTGGTGACGACGATGGTGACCACGGTGGTGACCACGACGGTGACCACGACGGTGACCACGGTGGTGACCACGACGGTGCCCACGGTGGTGACGACGATGGTGACCACGATGGTGACCACGGTGGTGACCACGATGGTGACCACGACGGTGACCATGGTGGTGACCACGGTGGTGACCACGATGGTGACCATGGTGGTGACCACGGTGGTGACCATGGTGGTGACCACGACGGTGACCATGGTGGTGACCACGGTGGTGACCACGACGGTGACCACGACGGTGACCACGACGGTGACCACGACGGTGACCACGGTGGTGACGACGACGGTGACCACGGTGGTGACCACGGTGGTGACCACGGTGGTGACCACGGTGGTGACCACGACGGTGACGACGATGGTGACCACGGTGGTGACCACGGTGGTGACCACGACGGTGACCACGGTGGTGACCACGGTGGTGACCACGGTGGTGACCACGACGGTGACCACGGTGGTGACCACGACGGTGACCACGGTGGTGACCACGACGGTGACGACGATGGTGACCACGGTGGTGACCACGATGGTGACCACGACGGTGACCACGGTGGTGACCACGACGGTGACCACGGTGGTGACCACGACGGTGACCACGGTGGTGACCACGGTGGTGACCACGGTGGTGACCACGACGGTGACGACGATGGTGACCACGGTGGTGACCACGACGGTGACCACGGTGGTGACCACGGTGGTGACCACGACGGTGACCACGACGGTGACGACGATGGTGACCATGGTGGTGACCACGGTGGTGACCACGATGGTGACCACGGTGGTGACCACGGTGGTGACCACGACGGTGACCACGGTGGTGACCACGGTGGTGACCACGGTGGTGACCACGGTGGTGACCACGGTGGTGACGACGACGGTGACCACGACGGTGACCACGGTGGTGACCACGATGGTGACCACGGTGGTGACCACGATGGTGACCACGACGGTGACGACGATGGTGACGACGATGGTGACCACGGTGGTGACCACGGTGGTGACCACGGTGGTGACCACGACGGTGACCACGACGGTGACCACGACGGTGACGACGATGGTGACCATGGTGGTGACCACGGTGGTGACCACGGTGGTGACCACGGTGGTGACCACGGTGGTGACCACGATGGTGACCACGGTGGTGACCACGGTGGTGACGACGACGGTGACCACGGTGGTGACCACGATGGTGACCACGACGGTGACCACGACGGTGACCACGGTGGTGACCACGGTGGTGACCACGGTGGTGACCACGATGGTGACCACGGTGGTGACCACGGTGGTGACCACGACGGTGACCACGATGGTGACCATGGTGGTGACCACGATGGTGACCACGACGGTGACCACGACGGTGACCACGGAGGTGACCACGACGGTGACCACGACGGTGACCACGGTGGTGACCACGGTGGTGACCACGATGGTGACCACGGTGGTGACCACGGTGGTGACCACGGTGGTGACCACGGTGGTGACCACGGTGGTGACCACGACGGTGACCACGACGGTGACCACGGTGGTGACCACGACGGTGACCACGACGGTGACCACGGTGGTGACCACGACGGTGACCACGACGGTGACCACGGTGGTGACCACGGTGGTGACCACGACGGTGACCACGACGGTGACCACGATGGTGACCACGGTGGTGACCACGGTAGTGACCACGACGGTGACCAGGTGCAGTGTCTATAACTTGAAGGTGTAAAGATGGGACGGAACAGGTAGTATCAAAAGTATTATATAATCTGAATTAATTAAGAAGAGAATAAAAATTTCCACCCTTTAATTTCTGTGTTGGTCAGTTACATATTTTCTGTACAAAAGATAAGAGGGTCACTACTTGACCTCTCGCTGTGTTCGAAACGTGTAGTAACTACCTCAGGCTGATATGTCAACATTACGGGACCAAGACTGTTCAACACTCTCCTTCTTCACATGAGGGGCATAACTCGCCGGCCTCTCAGTGTTCAAGAGAGAACTTGATGAACACCTTCAAACGGTACCTGATCAACCAGGCTGTGATTCATACGTCAGGCTACGAGCAGCCGCGTCCAACAGCCTGGGGTCGAGGCCCGATCTGTCTAACAGACAGAGTGATTTTCGTTATTTAAAAAAAATGGGTTAATTTGAATTAATATTATTATTTTATATTCAGAACATGGATTACCGCCTTAGTTATGTTAGGTTATGTGTGGTCATATTTCTACGTTAGTTGACTCTCCTCACCCGAGGTAGAACTGCTAATATTCCTCCACGATACTACCCAATAAGTGGCATTCACTCCGGGGTATCTGTTTACTTCTAGATGAGCAGATCCATTAGGCGAAAAGAAACGTGTCCAACCATTTATGTCTCGCCTGGGATTCGAACCCGTGATCCCTGATTGCGAAGTGAAGAACGAAGCCCACGGTGCCAAGAGTTGCTATCACAAAGAGGCAAGACAGTAACACTGCGCATGAGCAATAATGCAATGTTTACCTTGCGAGAATATCCTTTTATCTCTGGCTGCCTCAGAAATGATGTCACTGACTCAACTCCTGTAAGCAGGAACATTATTGACAGAGCAGTTAAAAGCAGAGATGTTGACCCAGCACTTAGTAGAGTAAATTTACTCTCTATTATTGTGTGCTGACCGGAGCTGCCTGCGTACTGCGCGTAGGCGCTCTTCTGGATATTATTGGAATTCTGGCAAGTTAGTAAAGGCTTTCTTTCCTTCGTGTGTCTTGTGTTCGGGCAAGTTTGTTCGGATCTCTCTTGTGGTTACCAGTAGGTCTCCAGTAGGTTCGGATCTCTCTTGTGGTTACCAGTAGGTCTCCAGTAGGTTCGGATCTCTCTTGGTGTTCCAGTGTGTGAGTCCCAAGAGATATCAATACGTTCGGACAGTCGGGGATCGAACGTAAACCTTGCAAAAAATGAAGCCGTCGTTGTTACCGATTAGTATTTAAATGATGAGGTAGAGGCTGGAGCAGCGTTGCTCCGGCCCTAGTATAGCATGGAGGTGAAGAGTCACCCTCTCTCTCTCATCTGTGTCTCCCTTCACCAGGGAGTTATGGGCGGGGCGGGAGGTGGAGGAGTCTCCGTGCCATCAGCACCTCAAGTTCTTTCCTAGATTTGGTGAAGCGTTGATGACGTTGATGTACGAGCTCCGTGAGGCTCCCGGGAGAGAATCACCGCCTGACTCATCAATCTTCGTGATATTGGCTTACTAAACATCACCTTCTTAACTCCTCCCGGGTGTTCCGCTCCGCGTTCTCTTGTCACCATAGGCGCTGGTGTATGCCACAAGACCAAAACACTACTGCCCGTGGTGGAGGGTCAGGGGTCGTGACCCCTGGTGGTGGAGGAGGGTCAGGGGGTCGTGACCCGTGGTGGTGGAGGAGGGTCAGGGGGTCGTGACCCGTGGTGGAGGGTCAGGGGTCGTGACCCCTGGTGGTGGAGGAGGGTCAGGGGGTCGTGACCCGTGGTGGAGGGTCATGGGTCGTGACCCCTGGTGGTGGAGGAGGGTCAGGGGGTCGTGACCCGTGGTGGTGGAGGGTCAGGGGATCGTGACCCCTGGTGGAGGAGGGTCAGGGGTCGTGACCCCTGGTGGGGGAGGGTCAGGGGTCGTGACCCCTGGTGGAGAAGGGTCAGGGGGTCGTGACCCGTGGTGGTGGAGGAGGGTCAGGGGGTCGTGACCCGTGGTGGTGGAGGGTCAGGGGGTCGTGACCCCAGGTGGAGGAGGGTTAGGGGTCGTGACCCCTGGTGGAGGAGGGTCAGGGGGTCGTGACCCCTGGTGGTGGAGGGTCAGGGGGTCGTGACGCGCGGTGGAGGAGGATCGGGCACTTTATGTCGGTCATAAAGACAGTTTAGATCAGTACTGTGCAGGAACAAAATGTTTTGTCTAGGCTACATCTGTGTCCAGGTTATTGACCTTGATTGCAAACAAGTGGTTGAAACAACCCGTCATTGTGATAATACTGCTGAATAACCTTGTTTAACATTGTATGTTCGGCTGTATGTGTCTCGGTCATTACCTGTCTTGGTCTGTATGTGTCTCGGTCTGTCTATGCCTGTCGGTTAAT